GTGATTTTTTAAATTATCCATATAGTGTGTGGGCACATAGTACAAGCCATAATAATCATGGTGGGTAGAAGTTGTGACTGCTTTTACTGTAAGTGTACCACATGTCTACACATCTAGAAAGCAGTTGAACTTTTACACATAACAAATATGCCAGAGCCCAGGTTTGGTTACTTGCACTCGCTGGTGAGATTGGACTTTTTACAAGAATCAGGGGCCATTGAAGCAATTTTTTTTTTAATTCATCAAAAAGTGATCCATATTTTAGACCCATAATATTTCAGCAAAATATGATCCTGGCTGTCAGAAATCAATGGTTTATTCCACTTATCCAATGACTCTTGCAAAAAAAAAGTTTATTTATTAAATTACTTTAAAATAATTATAAGAACATTTTTTTTAGTAATATAACTTTTTCTACAGGTGAATTTCTCTTGACTCTATTACAGTCCGTCATCTTTATTTCAACACTCCAAAGGATATGAATTTTCAGTTGAATTAAAGTTGGTGTTGAATTATAGTCAGTTAAGATGATTATCAATTCATCCCAACATTCACTACTAATTTTAATTTAACAATTAAACACAAGGTAATAAGACCAAATCCAAATAAATAGTGTGTGACGTTTCAGTAACAGCATTGTTATCATCTTCAGACAGAAGTACTGAATGTACTGAGATTCAGCACTTTTGTCTGAAGATGGTAACAACGCTGTTACAGAGATGTCACACACTATTTAATTATTTGAATTTGGTCTTATCACCTTGTGTTTATAATCTATAATCCAAATTGTGCCTTATCACATTATGGTCTTATTCAAAGATGAAATTTGATGAAAACCAACTTAGATGTGATCCTACATATCAATAATCCTTAAAAAAGCTACTTAGTGATACTTCTATTTTCCAAGCAAACTTTCAACCATTAAATGATCTTCAAAACTGATAACGCACAATTTGGATTATAGATTATAATACAAGAAGATAAGACCTAATTCAAATAATTTAATAGTGTGTAATGTTTCGGCAGCAGCATTGTCACCATCATCAGACAAAAGAATAGATGATTGATTTATTCTTTTGTCTGATGATGGTAACAATGCTGTTGCTGAAACATAAAACACTATTAAATTATTTAGATTAGGTCTTATCATCTTGATTGGGATCTTCAAAGCTGTACTGTGTTGGCCAACTTCTAGCCGACAGAGAGAGAGAGAAAAGTAGGGAGGGGGTGGGAAGGAAGGAAGGAATTGCCTAATTAATTTGCATTCTTGGAGGCCAGGTCAAGTATGGAAGCTTCTTTATATCTCTTTCTCCCCAAATTCCTTCTTCTCTCTGTGGCACTGATTGAACAACCTTGGCTCTGATGCTCTCAATACATACATTAGAATATACTTAATGAGAGGACATCTCTCTACAAAGAACAGTTTTCATTGACAAAATGTTCATTTTTACCCAATTTATCATATGATCCTGTAGAAGGGTTTGAAAAACCAAGAAGAAAATATATAATAAAGTAAGAAATTCATCCTCGAAAGCCATTTTAATTAATTTTTCCAATTAGATACTCTCTAGAAAGAGAAAACCTCTCCCTAAAGAACACTTTGACTCTGGAACTAGGTGTTGTCCTTTACAGAGAAATAGTTTTACTGTATTACTACTAAGATTTATTTATTCTCCCCCTCCTTCTTTGTCTGGATGTCATGTTTTTTGTCCTTTTCTGATTTCTTATATAAATGATTTTCAATGCAACTCAAATGACTTTAATTATAACACATATTTATATGAGAATTCAAAACTATTATAGACACATATGAATATTTTAAAAATGAAACAATTTTCTATTTAAATTTTTAAAAGAATCGTACGTGTCTATAATAGTTTAGAATTCTCATAACAGATGGTGCGCTAATGTATCACATATATATATATAAAATGTAATGCCTTGATAAAGGTTGGCATTCAGCCAACCGAAATATTGGCAAATAAATCTTTTATTTATTACAATATATGCCTTTTTATTATCTACATATTTATATTTCGATGCACTAGCACGCCATCTGTTATCAAATTACAAAACTATTCTAGACGCGTAATATTCTTTTTAAAATAAAATAATTTCTTCTGCCCTTACTGCAATGGAAAAATTATATGTAATTCTACTGTTTGCTTGAATACCATTTCTGAGATTCGACTCTTCAGTGTAGCATATATAAGCAGAATCGTTCAATACAGTATTAGAGCTCTAAGAAGAGGTCTGGTGGATTAAATTGGCGAAACCACTGGGAGGGTTTATCACTGATGAGCCAAGCCTTCTCAATATTTTTTCATCACAGTAAGGACAGTAGAAGTTTGTTTTCCATGTAAAAGAAACATTTGTGTTTAAATGCCTTTATTTCCTACATACTATAATTCAACTATGATAAAGCACAATTTGGATTATAGATACAAGAAAATAAGACCAAATCCAAATAAATTAATAGTGTGTGACGTTTCGGTAACAGCGTTGTTACCATCATCAGACAAAATAAAAAAAACTGACTTGGGTCCAATTATACCAATACTCACCTACTCTAATTCAATCAGAAGGCATTTTTCCCTTTGGATGTTGAATTAAGGAGGTTTGACTGTATTTTTTTTGCTTATCCCTAGTACACGTAGTACAGGCCATGATAATCATGGTGGGTAGAAGTTGGCGACTGCTTTTACTGTAAGTGCACCACATGTCTACACATGTGAAAAGCAGTTCGACTTTACACTTACAAATGTGCCAGATCCCCGTTTTAGTTACTTGCACTTGCTGGTGGGGTTGGACTTTTGCAACAATCGGGGGCCATTGGAGTATTTTTTTTTTAAATCAGAAAAAAAGTGCCGAATGCAGGAATCGAACCCGGGTTGTAGCGGTAAAAAAAACCAACAGTTTACACCATCCTTCCACCGACCCCCACATAGTTAGGGTAATCGAGAGAAGTGTACACTAGCAGGTTTGTATGTTCTCATGGAGGTTCTACTGTTATAATAATGGTGAGGTTAATATTGTAACGAGGTTAATTTATTTACATAATTTTTAGATTGTATTGATTTACATAAGTTTTTAATTATGTCATAGCTATATAAATGCATGTAGATACACTTTAGAGTAGACTGTAACAGAGAATAAAGTCAGTTCGTGTTTACCTCTCCTTGCATCTATTTTGCAAAAATATATTCCAAGCTGATGTCATGGCATCAACAAGTTCAGAGGACATGTCATCTCCTGTCATCTTCTTGGCTGAATTAAGCTGATGATCCACCACCAGCAGCCACTTACTCTGATGGCCTGAAGTGGTCCCAACTTATCTATCTCACGGAGCGAGCGAGCGAGCTTATATAACAATGCCCTCTCTCATCTACTCCTCCTCCCTCAGATAATCCTCTAATAGAACTTCTTCCATCTTATCTCAGCCCCAGATAGTAGTCCTTCTGTGCTACAACCTTGCCTCCAAGTGTTTTGTTATCTTCTCTGTGGGTAAGGCCTGTGAAAAGAAAAAAATATGCTTTTCCCCTCATCCAAATAAAAGACACTGGAGGATCCCACCTAAGTACAGTTGGTACAGTGGAGTAGACCCAGGAGGAGCTCTGAAACTCAGAAATAGACAGCATCAAACAACACTAACAAGATTTAGAACAGGCCATCTCAAGCCATTGAAGATAGAAAATAATAATAAAATCTACCCCACTTGCCCAAAATGTAGCTTGGCACTTGAAGCTCCAGAATACATTTTGGCTTGCATTAGATGCACTAAACAGGACCTTTGGGAGAGCCTGCTGCTTATCATAAACTAGCCGAATGACCCGGGCAACGCCCGTGTTTTACCCGATTGAATGTTTTTATTCAAATACTATTTGTTACAATTATAAATTTGGCGCCTTTAATAAATGCATATATTAGTTAATAACTATAGCCTATGTGCTTTATCTGTCTATGTACTGTTGGCTTCCATAGGCGTCTCATACTGGGAAAGGAAAGAGAGGATTCCATTTAGTTATTGCGACCCGCTCCAAACCAATAGTTACAAAAACGAAAGAGCGAGTGGGGGAGGCATGATGGGGGGGAGGGGGGGGGGGGGGGGGGGCAAAGGTGGCGTGACCGTAGCCAACCAATAGGAGGGCGCCATTCCAAAAAAAAGGCAAACGGTGACAGAGGCCGATGAGGAATGACGCTCGTAACTGTATATAGAATTAGCTTGAGGAGCATGGACTCATGGGATTTGTGTAATCTTTATACAAGGGGATAACAACAACAAAGACAAAAACTATGTACCATCTTTTGTAAACTAGCAGATTCATTAATAAAGCCAACAATACCTACTTTTGCAAATTTGGAATGCTCACCTGGAGGCCATGGTTTCAGGGTTAGGGCTCTCGTCAGTACTAGACAGGCTTTGATTCCATGATATCCATAAGGGATTCTTGATATTATTCAGAATCTGCCAAAGAGGTGTTTGGCTGGTAAAGTGGCTAGGCCAATTTTATGGGCAAAATTTTTATGGATAGGAAATTTGCCAGGAGGAACTTGATCTATAAAATGATATCAAAAACTATTTGCCATCTATTGACCATTTTCCTCCTGGAAAAATTTCTATATATCTTGTAACATGGAAGGATTGGGAGCTAGCTAGTTTCAGCTCTTTATCACTAGAGACTTAACTCTTTTTATGGAAAAATGTTACAAAAGTGAAATTTGACTGAGATCTGACAGATCTTCTTCTTTCTTATCTCCACTCAACAATTTTTTTTTGCTTATCCCTAATACACATGGTACAGGCCATGATAATCATGGTGGGTAGAAGAAGGCGACTGCTTTTACTGTAAAAGTGCACAACATGTCTACACATGTGAAAAGCAGTTCGACTTTGCATTTACAAGTCTACCAGAGCCCCGTTTGGTTACTTGCACTCGCTAGTGGGGTTGGACCTTTGCAAGAATCGGGGGCCATTGGAGCATTTTTTAAATCAGAAAAAAAGTGCCCAATGCGGGAATCGAACCCGGGTCGTAGCGGTCGAAAACCAACGGTTTAGACCACTCATCCACCGACCCCCCCCACTCAACAATAATATTAGAATATCAAGCTTGTAGAGCTTGTTGATCATGTCTGCTGGGGCTCATCAATGAATGAGCCAATACTGTCAATGATGTGGTTTTGGGGTTGCAGGTTGAGAATTGCACTTTGTAGATAGTGGGAAAACCTTGCAACCATTCTGGAAAGTAATTGTACTGGGATCTGACTAATAAAGGAAGAGAAAGACATCTCCTGATTGTGCAACTAAGTTATTGATGAGTTGTGCCATATGTCAGAATAAATATCAATTAATCGTTAATTTTTTATTATTCCAGAAAATTGGCCAAATACCCTTTTTTGATTAATCAACCGAGTCAACAACCTGAAACCTGAATGTGGTTAGCATTTCTTGATTAATCAAGAAAAGGTATTTGGCCAATAATGGAATAATTAAAAAGCAACGATTAATTGATATTTATTGCGACGATGGCACAAGCCATCAGCAACTTTTAGTTGCATGATCAGGAGATGCCTTTTTTTGTAATAAAAAGGAGACTTTACTTGACCTAGCCAATAAGAAACTATCTTTGATACAAGAGACCAGGAGTATTTAGGTTATCTCTCTGATCCACAGTTTCTATTCTCGATTGATAAACCCTGTACGATTTATAAATGAATAAAACAAAGCTTCGAGGGCTGCGTATCTTTTATTAGAACAAATATAATACTAGCTTTCGGGCACATACGCCCTTCTACAGGAATTAATGAAACAATAATCCGACTAGTTTGAAATAGGTTTTATATACACGTAACTATTGTTTTGCATATCAATTGCATTTCTATTGTTGAAAAATAATTTTTTATTGCGCGCTATTTGAAAAATTATCTATTTCTACAGACCTTAATACTGAATTGTAAATAAAAATTAAATGAGGGAGAGCCTGGCTCATTAATGGTGAACCCTTCCAGCAGTTTTTTTTTGCCCTATTTGTTAAATGTATTGAAAATGTGGTATCACTGATAAGGTATTATAGATTAGAAACAAAAGGTAGTAAGACCAAATCTATAAAATGATTGAAATGTTCATAAATTTTCAATAATTTGGATTTGGTCTAGCTACCTTTTTGTTTCAAAAGTGGTGTTAAAAATGATATATATTTCAGCAATAGATGGTACTAAATGATGATATTTAAAAAGTGTTACCTGTGTATTTTGTCCTTGCAAGGTATGTTACAATGTCCTCTTGTGTGTTTCCAGTCCAAAAGGCGTACAGGGAAGAACTGGACATTGTCAAGTTTGTTCTGGAGGTAAGTGTCTACGGCTGATGTATGGGCAGGTTAGTCTGACCTGGCCTGTGCAGAGAATCCTGATCTACCTTCCAGAGCTCCTCCATAGGAGATGGCAGTGCCACAGTATCCAGGTCATCCTGAAGAAGTTCCTTCACCACGGCAACCCAACCAGGGTACATAACATCTTTTATCATTTATTGGGGGATTTGGATTTGGGATATACAGAAGACGCCGCTCTAAAAAGCACTGTTTTCATCACCAAAATTTCCATTTATATTAATTGGCAACTCTCCAGTAAGAAGACGCCGCTCTAAAAAGCACTGTTTTCATCACCAAAATTTCCATTTATATTAATTGGCAACTCTCCAGTAAGAAGACGCCGCTCTAAAAAGCACTGTTTTCATCACCAAAATTTCCATTTATATTAATTGGCAACTCTCCAGTAAGAAGACGCCGCTCTAAAAAGCACTGTTTTCATCACCAAAATTTCCATTTATATTAATTAGCAACTCTCCGGTAAGAAGACGCCGCTCTAAAAAGCACTGTTTTCATCACCAAAATTTCCATTTTTATTAATTAGCAACTCTCCAGTAAGAAGACACCTCTCTAAAAAGCACTGTTTTCATCACCAAAATTTCCATTTATATTAATTAGCAACTCTCCGGTAAGAAGACACCTCTCTCCCTAAAAGGTACCTTGGCTCTGCAACTAGGTGTCCATTGCAGAGAGATTCTACTGTACCAACCAAGTCTCTTAGTTTCTTTTACCCCTTAGCTCAGTTTCACCTTTCTTTTCCTGGTGGCAACTTGATAAAGGCGAACTTTATGATGGGTAAATGTAGGCCTACCATTAGTTCAGAGCATCTGAAAGACATACTGTAGAGGTCTTCCTTAGCTTGGAATAGGTTGGTCCTCTAACATGGTGAACAGAAATCTTGGCTGCTGACCCTGACATGGATTCAGATGTTGGTTGCTACTGCTTACTTTTAATAGTGGTACATGCCATTGTTGGGAAAATTTGGAGTAAGAGATAAGACCTGTAATGAGCTAGCTGGCTAGAAGAATGAAATGTATCTTTTATTGGTTGAAAAAGAGCAAAATTTAGAGCATGGCGATCTTCTACTGTCTATAGATATCAATCTGTGCAGGAAAGTAGTTCGGCCAACGGTCAAGTGTCATTTTTCTGAGAAATAAATAAGCCAAGCACACATAGCGCACTCTGTGTATGCTGAGGAGGAAACTATGCTGGCTAGAAGGGGTCAAGAAAGCTACTTGAAGGTTAAAAAAAAAAAAAAAGTTCAAATGACCCCCGATTCTTGCAAAAATCCAACCCCACCAGGGAGTGTGAGTAATCAAACGGGGCTCTGGCACATTTATAAGTGCAAAGTCAAACTGCTTTTCACATGTGTAGACATGTTGTGCATTTACAGTAAAAAGCAGTCGCCTACTTCTACCCACCATGATTATCATGGCCTGTACCAAGTGTACTAGGGATAAGCAAAAAAAAAAAAAAAAATCCTGAGAGCTAATATCGTAAAGATAGAGGCTGCCTGGCCGGCATTCATATTTATATAAAAAATAGACACTTCGGCCAGTTAGAGTTTTTTTATTTTCTCAACGTTTCGACAAAAATCTTTTGTCTTCGTCAGGAGAATTAAATAAAAATAAACATTTGGCAAGGCGTTAAATGACTAGATGAGCTGCGAGTTGATAGTCACTAACAGAGAAAGTTGTGGAGAATATTTGTCACCCCATATAGTCACCACATAATTAAAAAGAAATGGAAGTTTACAGGACATGTACACTGAGGATCATCAGGAGATTGTCTATTGACCTTACTGATGGGATAGATATTGAAGAATGATGAGAGAGGTAGGAAGGACTGGTGTTTGATAATCTTAATTCTAATTCCTTGAGTATAGGAAGAGATTTGCTCAGAATAGGGTGAAATGGCATTTCTTGATGGCCAACCACTCTATTAGAGATGACTCTACATGATGAAGCCATTCTGTGGTATTTACGATACACTTGACCCACTTGGAATTCTTTCCTGAGGCATAAAATCACTACTGATTCCAAGACTTTTTTAGAAGGTCACCGCTGCACCTAACTCCTCATTATCTTCATCTTGAGTCCATGTCTATTGAACCATTTTCTCTGGGTCTAATGACCAATTCATTATACAGTTTGTGTTGTTGTTTCTTATCCCCTTGTACAAAGATTACATGTGTTCATGCTCCTCGAGCTATTTTATAATAATCAGCGGCCTCTCCAAAGGTCCTGTTTAGTGCATCTAATGCAAGCCAAAATGTGTTCTGGAGCTGCAGGTGCCAAGTTACATTTTGGGCAAGTGGGGTAGATTTTGTTATACAACTATACAGTTAGTTATAGTTAGTATATACTATGTATATATATAAATAAAAATAAAAAAGGCATATCCTGACCAGGAGCACATGTGCTTTTAAGATGGCAGAGTACCATCTAGTGCAACAGAAATCAACTAAACATTGATTTAGCCTGTTCCATCTGAAAAGCACATGTGCTCCTGGTCAGGATATAACTTTTTTATTTTTAATATCAACACCTGACCTTTTTATTTTATTTTATTTTTTTCTTAATTTTTTCACATACACAGTTAAACCTGTCTATAGGGCCCCCTCTAAATAGTGCCTCCCTCTATAGCGCCCGATTTTAAATACGTAGTATGATGTGATTCACATTTTAATATGATGCACTAGCGCGCCTTCTGTTATCAAAATTCAAAATTATTTTAAAGGCGTAAGATTCTTTTTGAAAATAAATAATTTCTACTGCCTTTACTGCAATGGCCCTCCCATTAATTATTTCCATTGCAGTAAGAGCAGTAGAAATTGTTTATTTTCAAAAAGAATCTTGCGCCTTTAAAATAATTTCACATTTTAATGTTTAAAATCAGGTGTTATAGAGAGGGAGGCGCTATTTAGAGGGGACGCTATAGACAGTTTAACTGTATATTGTATATATATGTGTTAGTTATACAGTTAGTGTGTGTTGCTGGAAGAGATTCACAGAGAGAGATTATGTTCCAGCTACGGAGGGAAGGAATCCGGCTCTTCCTCCTGTGGTACCAGATCCTGGGGGAGAACAGCCTGATGGACATGGATACCATGTTCTACACCCTGGTGCCTGGACTCCACCCCAAGTTCCCCAACCCCTTCCTCCTCTCCTCCACAGAACCCTCCACTTCAGACTCCTCCATCTTCTACAGCCCACATCCCCTCATTTCTGACGAGACCAGTAAGTCATTACCCCTTGTTGTTGGCAAATGCATTCTCTGGTTGGGGGGAGTGTTTGTTTAAAACAGCATATATCAACCATTCTGACACCATATATGGAATTATGGTGTTGTTGTTTCTTATCCCCTTGTACAAAGATTACATGAATTCCATGAGTCCATGCTCCTCTAGCTGTTTGATGATAAGCAGCGGCCTCTCCCAAAGGTCCTGTTTAGTGCATCTAATGCAAGCCAAAATGTGTTCTGAAGCTGCAGGCACTAAGCTACATTTAATAAGCTATCCCACTTGCCCAAAATGTAGCTTGGCACCTGCAACTCCAGAACACATTTTGCATCTTGCATTAGATGCACTAAACAGGACCTTTGGGAGAGGCCGCTGCTTATCATAAAACAGCTCAAGGAGCATGAACTCATGGAATTTGTGTAATCTTTACACAAGGGGATAAGAAACAACAACAACAAGCTACATTTTGAGC